TTCAACCAAGTATTAAATTAAAATAATGCGGATTTATTGTTTTGTACGAATACTTTTTTCACCCGAAAAGTGAACATGTTGCATTGTTTTTTGTTGCATTGAGATTTAATTTCTTTTGATAGTATTTTTGAATACTATGCTTCTCTATACATAATTTAAATCACTTTTCCTGTTAAGTTTGTGTAATTACATACATTAAAATACGATTTTTCAAGTGTACGAATATTTATTTCCCCCCACTGTATCCGCTAGTAGTTTACGCGACGCTTGCGATAAAATATTCATCAGTTTCTTCACTTATTTGCCTGGCTTCTCAATTTGGTAATACCAAGTTCAAGGGTAACAAATGTGAACAATCTGGGTTAGCAGAATTTTATTCATAACATTCCTCGCGCCTCACTTGAAAAATTAAAATTGTATCAAAGTTTATTAATATTTCGAGTAATAACATCTGATTTTCGTCTATTTCAATATTTCAGGCATGAAATGAGAGTTGATAACATGAATGATTTTACAGCGTTGAATGACATAACAGAAAATTTCCCACGCATTTCATGACTGGACACGAAATATTTGTTTCCACCAGGGAGCTACTCGCCGAGAGGACGGATCCGTCTTAGTCGGAGACATCCTCTACTCTTCTGCGCAATGGGATGGTCTGCTGTCGAAAAACCTGGACTCACTCGAGAAACTTTGGCCAAGGGAAAATGGAGTTGTAAAAATTCCATTTAAAATATCAGACTGTGAGTTGAAACTCATTTATTATTATTTCGTAAACAGTCACGTTTTCAATGAGAAGCATTTTCTTCCATTTATGTATTTAATTGATCGATCATTTCGCGATTGAATTAAGTCCTAAGAAATCTTTGATCAATTGCCATGCGAATGACCTCCTTGAAGAGCATTAGCTGAAGCGTTGAGTATTGACACACATATGTGTGGTGAACTTGAAAGACACGAAGATAATTATCCTCTATGCTCTAACAAAATTTTCCCCAAAAAGCCCTAGTTGTTACTTAAATTAACTGTATATTTAGAATGAAAACTCAGTGGTCAAACGTCTCGTCAAACGCCGTATAAGTAGACCTAAGAACAATATTAGACGGTTCTCTGATCCATCAATGTTTGGTTGACTGTAAACTATTACAGTAGTTCTACGCGTTTCACTTTATACGGCCTTTTAATTGTACTGCAGGTTTTTAAGTTATATTAAATGAAAACATACAGCGCAGATTATTTGACAAGTTTATGCAAACATATCGAACCATTGCAAATAAATACTTGAATATATCGTATCAGACGATAAATTCTGGAACCATAACGCCAGCGATAGGTGAAGGATCAATGTACTACATTTTCCAACGAGTCAAATGAACCAAACTTCTAACACGAATCTGACAGCTAAGTTGAACGGGACTCTGCTGAAGCTCGGGTTCAGCGCCTGGCAGAGCAAGACGTGCCTCGAGTTCCCCGAGTTGACAGAGTCGGACACAAGGAAAGAGTACCTGAACATCACGATACAGACGGGATGTTTCTCGGGTGTGGGTTACACAGCAGGCAACGTCACGACCATCAGTATCTTCGGTGATGTGTGTGGGGTGTGTATCAATAACGGGGATGCCCAGTCATTCAAAGTTATTTGGTAAGTTTAGAATTTATATGATTCGTTTTTGTTTAGGGGTCATATCGCAACTTGAAGCTACCCATTGTTGTGATGTAGGAAACGCTATATAATGTCTACATCTCGATCAAGCGGTTATGAAAATTGTATCTTTTGAAGACTAACATTAAGCCATTAAAGTGCATGTACGAGTGTTATTATTAAATATTATTAAAAATAATGAAAATTTTACTACTTGTGTAATAAGACTCATAGAAGAGCGTTTTACACGTTGCTTCTAAACACACGGCCAATTCGAGCCGAGATCGCATTAGATAATGTATAGAGTTAATAAATAATAATCAGAGTTAATAAATGCAAAGCTTCACAATGTATTAAAATGATCTATTCACAATGTGCATGGACCATAAATGTATTCGTTTATGGAATTTTGAATATAGTATCTTATTCATAAAAATTTACTAGAAAAAAGCATCTCTGCTGCGCGACTCGTGAAATTTAAGTTTTTCTAAAATAATTTATGGTTAGATTGCAAATAAATCAAGTGAATCACGATTTATTTCTTTGATTTCGCATTGACAAAAATGTGTGTTCCTCCATTTTAATGCGTCCTAAAAAGGCATTACATTCAAGTTGTAGCACCAAGTTTAATGTACGTCTGTTAGATTAATCACGTTACTGTAGTTCATTGTATCCAACAACCGTCTCCAAGTTTGAACATTCCACTCTCCAACTCAGGCCTTGATATTTTAGTAATTGTTAAAAACAAATGACTGTTGAGTTATGAATTACTTCTTGATATGTTAAGGACTTGGTATAAACAAATGACTGTTGAGTTATATATTACTTCTTGATATGTTAAGGACTTGGTATAAACAAATGACTGTTGAGTTATATATTACTTCTTGATACTTGATATGTTAAGGACTTGGTATAAACAAATGACTGTTGAGTTATGTATTACTTCTTGATATATTAAGTACTTGTTAAAAACAAATGACTGTTGAGTTATTAATTACTTCTTGATATATTAAAGACTTGGTATAAACAAATGACTGTTAAGTTATATATTACTTCTTGATATATTAAAGACTTAGTATAAACAAATGATTGTTGAGTTATTAATTACTTCTTCATATATAAACGACTTATAAACAAATGACTGTTGAGTTATGTATTACTTCTTCTACAGCTCAAGGGAATCACTCACGAGATAGGCCATGCAATTGGGCTGCATCACGAACACAGCCGTAGCGACAGGTCGGTCGCAATATGATATGCTGTGCGATGCGTGACTGCAGTGGATGTTTGGTTTCAATTTTAATAAGGATGTGATGTGTCTGTAAGAGTTTTCCTTAGCAAGTCTATATATTGAAGTCGTTGATTCAATCTCGTTAGTGCATGTAGTATTGTAGTCGAATGAAACACTTAACTTTTCGAGATATTATTTTCTTGTATGTTTAGTTAAAAGAGAACGCGTAAGTGTCCCAATTACTAACATTTGCAGCTTACATCAAATAACGTGTCATGACTAAGCATACCGTATACTGTTACGTGGATCTCTTTCATCTCTGGCTTCTTTGCGCTAAGTTCATCATCATTTCTTCTAAGAAAATTCTAAACTAATGTTATTTTTATTGTTTAATTATTCTGAATATGGTGTCATTAGATTTTCATTAAACATGCCAAATAGCAAGTTAGCATTTTTGGAATAATAATGCCAAAAAATCATGCGCACCTTCATTTGCAGTTAATTAGTACCTAATGAAGAAGCAAATCATTCCCTGAGGAAACGTTATCAACAATATAATTTTATTTAATCCAACTCAAGTTTTTTGAGATAGATGAGCGATTTCTGCTCACATGCAAGTGATGGTTGACAATTCATTTTCAGGAACGACTACGTCATCGTTAAGATGGCTAACGTCGAATTCAGTTCGGCCCATAATTTCTTCACAAAGGATACTGTCAACTTCGGGGTTCCTTACGACTACTACTCCATCATGCATTACCGCGAAAAGGTGAGGTGATCATGTGTATTTACTCACATTTGAAATATTTAAAGCGAGTGTGCATCTAATAATTTGGTTGTAAAATCATTCATCAGGAATAAAATGGAAAATGACTCCAAGGCGAAAAATACTATCTACAAATTTACATCTTTTTAAGTTTACAATTGACATCATGTACGCGAAAAAAATGTATAACTGCTATTACTACTGTCCTAGCACTGTTTTCAATAGTGCAAATGTATTTTCTGGGTATTTTCCGTATGCTTGCACTTTTGTGAAAATCCTAAAAATTAATTTTTAGAAAAACTATTCACTTTAGAATAAGAGCGTTAATTCTATTTGGCAAGTTCATTTTATTATATATTTATCTCGGTAAATTGCGAAACGAATAATATATACGAAAAGCAATTAATTTAGAAGCTTACGTAGCTTAGAAGAATAAAACGTACAGAATAAATTAGATAATCGACAGATAATGTTTTAGGTTGCCTTCCATGATCACTGTTGGCAATTTTGCACGAGGTAGCTTGATAAATTGAAATAATTAAATCGGTGGAAATACTTGATAAGAATTTCTCGGCAATTTTTTTCCTGATAACAAGCACTTCATTGAGAAGTTATAGTTAAATGGAAAATAACACTTGATGAGTTTGTGGCGCCGTGGATTTAAATGTGTTTTTTTTTTTGCCCTTGTAGGGAGGCTCAGCTTCCGGCGAGCGCGTGCTGCTCGCCAAAGACGCCCGTTTCCAAGATATCATGGGGGATGCCCCATGATGGGGGATGGGGGGCATCCCCCATGGGGGATGCCCAACACCATGTACGGCTGCATAAGTAAGAATTGACCATGTATGAAAATATATGCATGATATGCAGGAAAATTGTCCTGTTGGACCACTGATTCCAGTGTAGAAAAACTCGTTTTGGTCAAAAAGTTGTCATGGAAAAAATTTGTTCGAATAAGATATACATGAACCAAACTTCCCAAAGACATACATGCATGATACCCGACTAGAAATGGAAAGTATAAAACTAGCGGGAATTTGTGCGTAACAATTTATTGTTGAACAGATTATGTGCTACCTTTTCCTAGTAATAATGAGAGTTAAAATCCTGAGAAGATTACGCATAATAAATGATTTTTTAATGCGCACCGGATTAGAGTGGAACAAGTTTCAATTAAATTAAGAATTACTAGTTTAGTAGAGTCAACTGGTATTTACAATTAAATTTGGTTCTCAATCATATTTAAGACTTGAAAAAATAATTTTTTATCTGGTAATGTTTTGGGACACAATAAAAATTGGTGCAAATGACGTGAAGATCGGGACATCTCGATACGGTCTGAACGAAGAAATCATAATATTTTATTATATGTCCAGATATTTCATTAGTTATTCCTTATTAATAATACAAATTAGTTGATGATTTAAAGAAGATTTCAGAATTTAAATGTTCTCATTATATTGATTGACTGAATATCGGAACGTTACTTATTCTTGCGCGATTTCATTACACTTTCCAAATCAAAATTTTGATTACGTTTGCGGACGATAGAGGTCAGCCACATTCGGTTTAAAGGTGAATTCGTCATCTAATGTGTTATGCCAATAATTAGGACCTTTTTTGAACTTTTGGGCCAAAAATATAAGGGACTAAATGAGACCCCCAAATAAGAGGCAGTTCAGGCTGCTCCGTGTACACGTTCAGGCTGCTCCGTGTACACGTTCAGGCTGCTCCGTGTACACGTTCAGGCTGCTCCGTGTACACGTTCAAGTTGCTCCGTACGTGTACACGTTCAGGCTGCTCCGTGTACACGTTCAGGCTGCTCCGTGTACACGATTTTAAGTAGTCCCTCTAGAGTATAAACTATATATTTTATTGCGGAATATTTTTGTTTCTGCTTTTCACTCGATCATATTTTGGCAATAATGAAAGGTGGCGTTTTATATTGTCAAAATTCAAAATCTTGTTAGTAAATTACGCTAGTAATTTACCAACTAATCTACTACGATTAATTACTAACTGTTAGTAATTAGTCATAAAGTATGAGCAGTCTTGGGGCATAGTTAACAATATTCTGTCAGTTGGTTTCTAACGGTCAGATGAACTATAGTGTGTTGCATGCGATTCTGCGTGACGCAAAGACCTCCAAGAGAACTATTTTTCGCGCATTTTCTCATTTATGGAAAAAATGCGCTATGGTGCTCGTCATGTCCGTCCGTCTGTCCGTCTGTCCGTCCGTCCGTCCGTGGCCTCAAGTTTTCGTCGACGAGAAAATGCGCTCTCTGTCACTCACTGAAGTGAGTACTGAGTTATATTTTTTAATTCATGGGGTGCATATGTTAATCCGAATCTGTGGGAAGCGAAATGCAAAGATTATGTCCTCAAAAAAAGGAGCGTGAATAATACCAGGGTATAGAACAACACGAAATAGTAAAGATGAATTAACTTCAGAAATCGATATTGATCGGAAAATAAATTTCGAATACAACAAGAATCGCGCAACACAATTAATTCGTAATTCAGCCTCTTTATATAGACTTTCAGAGGCGAATAGATGAAGCAACACTTGAACGTCATTCACTGGACTTATTAACTGAATTCAGCACAAGCATGTGTTTCACGTAATCAATTCTAGCAGACGAATCATGATTACGCAACTATGCATTAAGTGTGCTCAACCATATATACGCTTCATGTGAGAGATACGTATTCATGATCAATGCGACAATTTCACATGCAATAAAAAATACACAAACATTCACGTATAAATGGATTAAAAAATAATAAATCGTCAAGCAAATCCATTATATCTTCAGCGAAATTGTTTTCGACAATGATCACTCAATTAAAGGCATTGTATTGGATGACTCCTTCGTAAAGGGCAGATTCACTTCTAAATTTACTACCCGCCTTGGCACGACATCTCGTTCATTGTTGCATCCAATTAATATCGATTTTCCAATATTTTGTTTTAATTTATACAGATTTTAGAAAGAACAAAGCTTTAGGGATATTGCATTCTATTATTTCTTTAACTTGTTCTCCAAGATGACTGGTTGAACAACTGCAAACACGCAGCTGAGCCCTGTGTCGGAACGGCGGCTACACCACGAAGGACTGCAAATGCGCTTGCCCATTGGGCACTACGGGGGCAAACTGCGAAAATTTCATCATGAGCTACAATGGTGAGGCACATCAGTTGTAAGTGTGACAATACAGCTAGGAGATGAACTGCCAGTCATAAAGCAACATAATGACAATCCAATGATGACCAAAAACTGGATGGCGCAGGAGTCAGTGAATCTGATAAACAAATAAGGAAGAAGAACCAAGGGACACGTAAGGCCATGAGGATGTGAATCCATGAATAGTTATGAAGATTTACACACTATGCACGAGTGATCCCAACTGATCCTAAGACGATCGAGGCCCAGGGGACTTGTATTAATAAACGAGACTTGGTGGTCTGCCTCCGAGGAGGAGAAATTGCAAACTGACCATCGCGTTGTTATTATATGGAAACAGTTAGTTATATCTAAGCTGATTGAGACTAATATTACAAACATATGCAAAGCCACTATTGAACTCCTGGTCATTTTTTATGGTTCACCATTTACGTCTGCTGACAGATGCTCTGGTGAAGCAGATCTCCCCAGACTCCACCAACATCACTACCCCAGACGCAGAAGTCATCTCTCCTGGATACTACACGCTAGGCTCAACGCAAGGTATCGACTCCCATTAATTCTAAATTATTGTTGAAATAATTATTACTGTTTTGCATGCTTATAAGAATTTAACTTTTTTAGGGAATTTCGGGAGTCCTCTGCGTTAATAATCACAGAGCTGTCCCTCACGACTGGTTAGAACATAAATACGTAAATACCTTTAGTGCGTGAGAAACGAGAAAGTTATGGAAACAGGATTTCCCTCCAGGCATAAATTGTGTCATTACGTAAATTTTTGAATGCCGGCGAGAACGTACATGCACGTGACCAATGAACCGCAGTCACGTTCAAATAATGAATTATGTTGCAGACAAAAATTACACGCAAGTGTTGCGTGCCCCCAAGTGCCAGAGAGCCGTGGCCACTTTTGAAGACTTCAGACTGAAGAAACGAAGCTCGGAAGGAGAGTTTCGCTGCGACGCCAACTCTCTTGAGATCCACGCTGACGTCTCCGTATCAGCTGGGGAAATGTACGTCAGGTTATGTTTATTAAACTTCAAAATAACTGATTTCTACGCAATATATAATTAATAGATGGATAGATAACTGATGATCTGAAGTTTTTAATTAATATTCGCAAGTTTTAGTTCACAAATTCATGAAAAGAACAAGCATTAATTAGACTCCACATGTTTGGCGAGAGCTTCATCCGCGCTGACTGTATCTAAGTATCAATTACAGACGAAAAAGGCAGCCAGTGTTGTTCTCTTGATTCTGTCACCACCTACTTACAAGACATTAAACAGATTTTTTTTATTAATTCAACCTCATGGGTTAATGGTGTCAAATTCTAAAGGTTTGCTGCTCATTGATTTGCTGTTTCCTACTACATTCAAATTAGTTTCTGCGGGGAAGAAATTGTGAATGGAGCGGTGTTCAAAGCAAGAATTCAGAGCTCATCTTCCACTACAAGAGCTACAACTCCGCAAAAAATGAACAGGACAATCTTAGCAAAGGCTACAAGGCGAAATTCACTACCGAGCAAATTTCCAACTGCAGGTATGATTTAATGACAGTAAACACGTTAGTAGATTGACAATTTGCAAGAAGGTGCTGTTCATACCAAGTTCACTTTAAATCATGTATTATTTGCTAGTGACTATTTTTCAAAATGGAAATATTTGGATAAAATTCTCCTCTCAGCAACAATAGAACCTTCAAAATACCAGTGTTTGGTCTAGATAATGTGACAATAACTGAAAATTTTCAGTTTCCCTAAAATTTCACTGCCGTAACTGTTGGACATTTTTCATTGCAGCTGATACTTTCTCCCCCGTTAACCGACGTACGTCTCTTCGGGCGATCGACGACCTGCTGACCAATTGGATTAATCTCCGACTAATGTGTGGTTTTGTGTGTGAAAGCATTTATGCTATCTCTTGATTTTCTTATTTCTATGCTATAAAATGAAATAAAAATGGGATGTACTGCAATAAAGTAGGTGCAACATTGATTTTTATTTCTCTAGTTGTACTTCAGCGGGTAGCAATTTAAACGAGTTAATTATATGTAGGGCTAAACAGATATCTACCATTCAGTTCTCAACTACACAATATTTCATTTTGATACAGCAAGTATTGATTCTATGATAAGAAGAAACTCGTACAATGTAATGAAATTATTATATTAGTTTCTCGAATGTTCATTCATTAAATATTTTGTTGGGGTTCACGAAGCAGAGCTATGAGTATGGCTAGAGAACCTGGGTGACCTCTGCAAAGGTAAGCAGCAGTCACCAACGACGCTATATTATATATTTTGCCCTTCATATTACCCTGTATTACGAGAGCGTTGGCCGTTGGCTTCTTGACTGGAGAGCGTTGGCCGTTGGTACACTGCCGTTGGCTTCTTGACTTCGATTAAATGCAATGAGATTTGCTTGGCAGGCGTGGCTTTGTTTCTTGAAATACCTCAGCACGATGACGCTGATGTTTGTTGGAGAACATCTAATTAAGAACGCCTTGCGAGTCTTTTTGCAGCTATAGTAATTTCTTTATAAATAAGATTTTGCAGATCATCACATTTCAAAAAGAGGGCAAGGAAACACCAATTTGTAAACCATAGATGATCATGAACGATGGAATTCGTTCGTCGTTTTCGTTACTAATTCCTGTAAGTCTTGGCCTTGATTAGTATAGAAATTAATAGTATCTCAAAATTGTTAAAATAGGTAGAACCGTTGAAGACTGATTGAAGCCGGCGGTTTAAAATTCAAAACAAAGCGGGTGTAGGACGCCTCACGTACGCGGGTAGCGAACGGGGCTATAAAAGAAGTGAGGTAGGAGAAGAGGAGCTCAGTGCGAGTCGGCTAGCATGTCGAGAAGACGTGTTGTGTGCGGAATTTGGATCGCCGAGTCTGCAGAAACCTCGTGTTGGAGTTTTTCCAGGACAACACAGAAAATAGGAGACGTGTTTGATAGCACAAGAGAAGAATCAACCTCCCAACCGAAGAAACCTATTTCCGTTAGAGAAGAACCTATTTCCGAGATAGAGTTTTATTTCGGAAACCAGTATCTACAGCAAGGAAGAACCCATCACCCCAAATAAAACGCACACCACGGAACGCGGACTGAAGATTTCCGATTTCTAATCTTTGGTCGTTTACAACAGTCGTACGGCTCAACGGAACTGCAACGGATCACACTTCTGTTTTTTTAAACATCAATCTCCCAACCGAAGAAACCTACTTCCACCGAGATAGAGTTTTATTTCGGAAGCCAGTATCTACAGGCCACAGCAAGAAAGAACGCATCACCCCAAATAACACGCACACCAGGGACCGCGGACTGCGGAGACTTCCGATTCTAATCTTCGCCGTCACTTAGCCTTGGAAAACTCGCCACCGCTGCGCAGTGGCCTCACCATCTCCAAATTTTCGGTGATGTACTCCGGGAAACTGTTAGAAACTATCTTATTTTCCGTAGAGTCATAGAAGTGAAATAGCTGGGTAGATAGGTCGGGATAGGATTTATTTTGAGCACAAATACTACGTATGTCGGGAAATTCCCCTGTGTAACTCTGTCTGAGCTACATATTTTGGTGTGGCAGTATAGGACTATATTTCGTGTAAATCGTGCTCTGCCGACTGTCCCATTTGTATTAGACTAGATTTTTTCCTATAATATAGTAACTATAGAATTTATCTCCATGTGTTATCATTGCTCCTTTGCTAACTAGTTCGCTGTTCTGACTTTTAGAACCGTACATCAGTGCGCCGTTTACCGCCACTCTGGCAAAAAGTCAACCTGACCAATTTCTAATTTATATCAGAAGATAAAAAAATGATGAGTTAACTCAATAAATTTATGACGAAAAATGGTATTTCAGATTTGAATTCGTGGCCAAGTAGAAATGATTAAAGATCTCGAAAAGAGGTAAATAATAGTGAGAATTAGGAAGTCTTAGACTTTATAACAAAACTATTCACAAACCAAATTATTCAGCCTCATGGGAAGTTTTTTATCGTCTAATCTCAATTGCTCATACTACTCGCGTAACTATGGGACGCTGTTGTGCGTAACTGTTATTGCGTCAGGATAACTCATCAGAATCTATTTAATGTGGGGTTAGATCTTGGTCGCTCGTCGTTTTTTTGTCGAAAATTCTAGCAGGTATCGGTGCTACCGCCTCCTAGGAAATAAAATTCGCAAATAAATGCCCTAGACTGCAATAAATTTCTCGCACATTCTTCTATTAAAATCAACATTTCACGATGTCTTTGTGCGTCGAGTTAAAAGAAAAATTAAGCTGCAGGCTAAAATATTAAACAGTAACATATATAACCATATGAATTTCTCGAAAAACCAGTATGAAAGATTCATGACTGCAATACCAACAATTTCATGAAATAAACTGCAACTGTTAAATTTGCATAAACTGAAGCAGGAATCTGCCTAAGCAATTTATATTAGACTCTATTGACCTCGGATCATAAAAGCAAGTTTCTCCAAGCGAATTTGTATATTGCTACTAAAACACCACGAAGCAAGCTTCCAATTTCCAAGTGCGAGTTAAAATTTAAGGAAAACTATCAAGAAATTATTAATATTTTCATTCCTCATAATAATTATAATATTTGCGGTTTCAGCTTTGCAGATTAGGCCATAAGAATGTCGACAATTCTTAACATCGCAGAATTCTTATAACTTGCTGTGGGTCTAGAACACAATATATACTCATTTTATCCATCTCCACTATACTCAACCGCCCAACCATCTCACTGATTTTGAGCAGAATTGTCGCAGGAAGCAAGGGTCGAACCAGCAACTCCCTGCTCAAATCTTGGTACTCTAAACTGTAACCACTGGGTCACCCTACCCTTGCATGATGCCCCTACCCTACCTTGATCTTCTAACTTGAGATAAAATGGCCTTCGAAAAGGTGTGAAAAATCAGAGTAACGAAAACATTAGTGAATAATTAGGTTCATATGACTCGCGTAATGTGATCGTCAAGGTCAAGTTTTGTTATTTTGCATTATCTTTAAAATAGAGTCTACCAAAAAATGATTGTCTTGGACTTCGAACTATCAACAGATATTGTATTATAAAACGCATCTAGCATATGCTCAGTAAAATAATGTATGAGAGAGTGAACAAAATTCAAAATCAGAGGCACGAGTGAATGAAATGCAAAACTATACAGGGTGTCCCAAAAAAACGATACTCAACTTTGAATGGCTGTAACTCGAAAAGTAATATAGTTAAAAAATTTTGGATGGTCAGGATTTGTTTCCTATGTTTTTCTGCATCTCTCCATCAAAAATCAGACAGATCGATGTAGCCATAAGCGTTTGATAGAACTTTCAGTGACATGTGCTAAAATCGTGCTTGCGCAAAGTTTTAGTAAGATCATTTTGCATACTCATTACGTTGTCTTGACATGTTTTCTTTTCCCTTTTTGATTTTTAGCGCATTTTCTCATTTATGAAAAAATGCACTATTGTGCTCGCCATGTCCGTCTGTCCGTCCGTCTTTCTGCCCGTCTGTCTGTCCGTCTGTCTGTCCGTCCGTGACTTCATGTTTTCACAATCATGACAATCTTTGGTGAGAGACAATCATGACAATCTTTGGTGAGAGGCAATCATGACAATCTTTGGTGAGACACAATCATGGCAATCTTTGGTGAGAGACAATCATGGCAATCTTTGGTGAGACACAATCATGGCAATCTTTGGTGAGAGACAATCATGACAATCTTTGATCAGAGGCAATCATGACAATCTTTGGTGAGACACAATTATGACAATCTTTGGTGAGAGACAATCATGGCAATCTTTGGTGAGAGAGAATTTCTAAACCTAAGATTGCCTCTCACCAAAGATTGTCATGATTGCCTCTCACCAAAGATTGCCATCTTTTTGTCTCACCAAAGATACAAAAAATGTAACTCAGTCCTCACTGCAGTGAGTGACAGAGAGCGCATTTTCTCGTCGACGAAAACATGAAGTCACGGACGGACAGGCGGGCAGAAAGACGGACGGACAGACGGACATGGCGAGCAAAATAGTGCATTTTTTCATAAATGAGAAAATGCGCTAAAAACGCGAAAAGAAAACATGTCAAGACAACGTAATGATTATGCAAAATGATCTTACAAAACTTTGCGCAAGCACGATTTTAGCACATGTCACTGAAAGTTCTATCAAACGCTTATGGCTACATCGATCTGTCTGATTTTTGGTGGAGAGATGCAGAAAGACATAGGGAACAAATTCTGACCTTTCAAAATTTTTTAACTCTATTACTTTTCGAGTTACAGCCATTCAAAGTTGAGTAGCATTTTTTGGGACACCCTGTATATCCAGCTGGCTGGGAGTGAGATTAATTCAAATATCAGCAAATTTTATTTATCACATTTTTTGGGGGAAGTGATTGAGTTGAAGTAGACAACATAAGCTTATTAACAGTTGGCAAGATGAAGAAATTTTGTGAGACGAGATTTTCAAAGAATTAAATGCAAGATCACGCTTAGAAATGTGTACGGTATCACTGAATTTGCTCCTACGTTTCGCAACTCATCGTTGGATGTAAAACAAAATTCAGTGTAAATATTTTACCACTTATTAACGAATAAATGAATACGATAGTTCAACTTAAAAATTATGCAACGCAGTAGTACAGTTTATCAATTGTACGTTATGAGCACAGACAATAAACGACTGAAGTGGGAAAGAGACGGGCACGGCCATACGAGTCTGACCTGCCGAAAAAGACCCGTGAAGACCTCTTGAAGCATATGGGCTGAACACTGCCTACTTCATA